GACAAGACACTGTCCAGCACGGCAGGCAGGACATCCAAGGTGCTGCGTCATTACCAGGAGGACGGACATCCCTACAGGGCAGCAGTGTCCCCCGGTCAGGCCAGTGGCAACCTGTCCTGCTGCTGTGACTGCAGGGAGCCCTGCAGGGGAAGGACGAGCCCCCAGCCCGCAGTCATACAGAAAAGCAGGGGTTATTCCACCCTGGAGAAGCCACACCAACAGTTTCTGCAGGTGGAGCAGCTTGTCCTGCTCTCAGGTGCCAAATTTCTTCTGTTGGACAGGCAGCGGCAGCTGGGTCTTGATGTCCATGATGGGCCGCTCCACCATCACCAGGCAGTTCTCGTCCAGCATGTCGGCGAAGAGTAGGGGCTGGGGGCAAGGAGGGGCAGCTGAGAGGGGGGTCCTGGCCCCCCTCAACCTCAGCTCACCAGGACCTGCAGCTCCAGCTGAGCCAAGAACCAGGGATGGAGCCAGGGCTGCGCTGCGGGAGCTGCCAGTAACCGGAGCCCACGGGACCAGAGCGATGGCTGCGCCGTGTCGGGGACAGAGACCAAGCTCTGGTGCTCAGCAGAGCAGGGCAGGGATCATTCCCCTGTGCTGGGCCCTGGTGAGGGGACACCTCCAATCCTGGGGTCAGTTCTGGGCTCCTCATGACAGGAAGGACATGGAGGGGCTGGAGCGTGTCCAGAGAAGGGCAGTGGAGCTGGGGAAGGGGCTGGAGCACAAGTCTGAGCAGGAGCCTCTGAGGGAGCTGGGGGTGTCCAGCCCGGGGAAAAGGAGGCTGAGGGGAGACCTGGTTCTGCAGCTGCCTGAGAGAAGGTTGGAGCCAGCAGGGGTTGGTCTTTTCTCCCAAGGAACAAGTGATGGGACAAGAGGAAACAGCTTCAAGTTGTGCCAGGGGAGGTTTAGGTTGGATCTTGGGAACAATTTCTTTCTGGAAAGGGCTGTCAGGCCCTGGCCCAGGTTTCCCAGAGCAGTCCCCATCCCTGGAGGGGTTTCAAAGGCACATAGATGTGGTGCTGAGGGACATGGGTTAATAGTGGCCTTGGCAGTGCTGTGTTAATGGTTGGACTGGATGATCTTAAAGGTCTTTTCCAACAAAAAAGACTGACTCTATGACTCAGGTGCTGCTGAAGTGACAGAAGCCAAATGGCACCAGGGACTATGGGCACAGGGCACCCCCCAGCACCCCCATACCGACACAGCCCGTGCCCAGCGACACCATCACCCACCTGGAACTTCTTGCAGATCTTGAAGGCGTGGAGCTGCCGCTGCCGGGCTGTCTCTGGGAGCTGCTTCAGGGTGCTCTGGTTCATCAGGAGGGCACTGTTGTCCGGCAAGGGCTGCCAGGAGAGTACACAGCACATGTCACCACTGCTTTGGTGCCACACACAGCAGTGGGGACAGGCAGCGGGGCAGGGGGGATGCCCTGGGCACCAACACAGCCCTGCTGGGCTCACCAGGGACTTGTCGAGGAGGCAGAACATGTGGACGTCGTGGAGCAGGATGTGTGAGGGGTTCTTGGGGTTGAAGGCGATGTGGGTGATGGGCGTGTCCCTCTCCAGCCAGGCCCGGTGCAGCCCCCCGTTCTGCACGGCGCGGCTCCAGGCCGTGTACTGCTTCTCGGGAATGCTGAACTCGAACAGCTGCAGAGGGGAAAGCTGCTTCACCAGGCACCGGGACAACCCAGGGCCAGGGAGGGAGCCGTGGAGAAGGGTCTGGAGGGCTGAAACTGGGAGAGCTCCTTCCTACCTGCTGGTCGGAGTAGGCGATGACGAGGTTGTTGGTGAGGGGGTGGATGGCGAGGGCCGTCACGGCGCAGCTGTAGGTGGGCACCGTGCAGTGATGCTGCAAGGGAGGGGACAGCGTGGTGACCAGAGCAACTGCCTCTGAGCCCCCTTCCCACGCCCCCCCCCCTAATGGCTGCCAGGGAGGGGTCTCATATGTCAAGCCCACCCTTCCCAGCCTCCAAGGGAAGGAGGGCAGCGGGGTGCTCCTACCTTGAAGCAGTCCCCACCGACAGCAGCCAGCCAGTGCCCGTCCGCGCTTGCTGCCAGCAGGTAAACAGCCTCGGGGGACCCTGCAGGAAGACTCTCAACAGTGTAAGGGGTGCACAGGGCCACGAGGACCCCAGACCCACCCTGGGGGACATCCAGACCCACATTTCCCCCTGCTCAGTACCTAAGGGTGGCACAAACACAGGGCAGAGCTGCTGGGGTGGCAGGACCCACAACCTCCAGGGCAGGAAAGGGGGGACAGGCTGGACCCTGCCCACCCCTCTGCACCCAGCCTTGGAGCCCAGCACCCCCCAGCTCCCAGCCAGAGCCTCGAGCAGAAGCAACAAAGAGGCTGCTGGAGTCAGCAGAGAACTGGAGCTGGTAGGCTGGGAGCAGCAGCTTGGGGACTTTGGGGACCTTGAAGGGCAAGGAAAGCAGCGCTGGCAACCACCCACCGCTGCCACCCTCACTCCCCACAAGCGACACTGGCAGTGCCAGTCCCCTGGGACCCCACAGCCACCCCAGCCCCCCGATGGCCCCTTCCCCTCCTCACCTTCTTGATGCTGACACTGTCCCCCTCGCTGTCCCCCTCGTAGTGCAGCCGGTAGAGGTGGAAGCGGGAGGCGGTGCAGTGGGCGACCCAGCCCCCGCAGGGTGAGATGCAGCTGCAGTAGATGTGCTCCGGGCCCTGGGGACACACGGGACTGAGCTGGGATCCCCCCGCCCAGCACAGCCAGCTCAGCAAGCCAAGGGAGCTGGGGGGGGCTGCTAAGCAGGCACCAGGGCAGACCCCAGCCCCGGCTCAGCCCACCTTGCTCTTGAGCTGCACGAGGTGCTCCGGCATGCGGCACACAGGAAGGACCTCCCCATCCTTTCCTGGGATGACAAGAAACCACGGGGTGTATCAGTGAGGGGGGAACCACACAGGTCCTGTCAAGCAGCTGATCCCAGGGGAGCCTGGAACCTTCCTCAGCCTCCCCCAACCCAAGCTCAACTCCCCCAGGCCTGTCCCAGGTCTGCTGGAAGCCCAAGAACAGCCTCAGTGCAGCCGTGCAGCCTGTGCCCAGGCACTCAGCACACTGGGAACACAGAGGTAAATAAACCAGAGTCAGGCCTCACAACTCACCGGTCTCATCAGTGGAGCCGAGTCTCCAGAGCTCCAGGTGCTGGGAGAACTGGAACAGGAGCAGACGGGCTTTCCTGGCACAGGAGACGAGGCGTCGCTGTGTGCAGAAACGGGAGACAGACCTGAACCCACAGCCTAGCAGGAAGGGCTGGGCCAAAGCCAAAATGCCTTGGGGTGCTGGAGACTCTGGGGTGGAGGAGAGGGAGGACTGGGTCCTGTGGGATGGGAGCCCAGAGAAGGAGACCCAGTAGGACCAGCAAGACGAGCTGGTCAACTTCTGCTCCCTCACCTGCTCTACAGTAGGAGCCTTCAGATGTGCCAGGAACTAGGAGGGGGCCCTGGGGAGGCAGGAGGGGATCTGGTGGGGCAGGGAGGGGCCCAGCACTCACGTGGGGGAAGGTGAATTTGCGGAGCACAGCGTCGTAGCCCTTCTTCTGCATCTTCTCCATCAGTGGGCGGATCACCAGTTGGGCATCCAGGCCTGGAAGCCAAGGGGAGCTCAGCCAAACTGGTACTGGGGGAGCCCCAAGCCCCCGCCCCGTGCCAGCAGCCAGCCCTACCCCCGGAGATGAGAGCTGTGGAGCTGTGGGCCACGGCTCGCACGTCGTGGGTGTGATGCTGGAAGGGCTTGGTCCGCACCCAGCGCTTCTCCAGGCTACCCATCTTCACTGGCAGCAGCTGGAACTGGTACGTGGCCCCAGTGGAGGTGCCCACGACGATGCTGTCCTCTTTCTGGGGAGGGAAATAGGAACAGGCAGCACCAGGTGGCACACAAGGACCTGGAGCTTCTCTCCCAACTCCTTCCTAAGCTCCTCTGACCCAGCACAAAGTCCGGAGGGGCCCTGGCT